GATGGAAAAGATGGCACGTTATCAAATATTGAAGGTATATTTTCTCCTTTGATTATCACCATATATTATCTGAATAAATTTTTGACTATTAGTGATTTATACTATTGCACCGAAATTATAAACAAAATAGCGGAAAGTCCACTTGCCAATCGTCGTAATATTTTTGATAATGATGAATTTGACGTGTTCTCTGGAAAACAACTCGATTTATCGCGTGTCCACATGGGTAAAAAAAAGTATGTCAACCTTACAATATCGGCCTTGCGTTTCTGGTTCAGACTTAATTTTAGACTTTTGCCCCTCAATCAAATTATTATTGTGTGATTGTTATGGCTGAAAGTCGTGGATCCGCTCAGAGAATGCTTGATGACAAGTCATTTGTCGAATCGTACAAGGAATCGATCATCGAAAGTGCTTACGTTAGTATCTACGAAGACGAATATGATGATACCTATGATACAAGTGGATTACAAACAGGAGCACTTGATGTACATCTAGTGGACGAGTTGGAAGAGTCGGAAGCTGGTCTATCTCGACATAATCAGGTATGAATTAGATATTGTCTTTTATGTTAATTATAAAAGAACATTCTTTAAAATTCTCACCTAATCAGATAGATCCGGGCATTCTGCATGAAAGTGAATTGATAAAAATGTATCACGATGATCCTTCGGTATTTGAACGGACCAATGCTGCAAGAAAGTCTAAAAAACGCGAACAACTTTGTAGAATTACCGAGATGACTGATGAACAAATTGAGGGATGGTTTATCATGTTCCAGAGAAATGTAATTATAATTTATATTGATTATTCTTTAAGAATAGGAATTTTCCAATCTATTATATCCTATTGATATAATTATTTACAAAAAAAGCCAAGGAAAAATAAACTCTTGGAAAAATATGAATGGAAAGGACAACAAAGAGAAATAAGTATTAGTGAAACAGAGGAAGGCAGCTCATCATTAGATCATCAGCGCACTACCCCTAATGAGTCTCGTGGCAAAGGTCGAGGATACGCTCGTGGAGGCGAGACCCCT